CTTTTTTTTTAACCTCCTGGGTACTGTAGTCCCTAATTTAGAACAACTTTTTTTGCGTGAAACGAAACTTTACCATGCTAAGTATCTAAAAAAAAAAGTTTCTTCTCTCTGTCAGTTGTGTCAAGTCGAACATGGTGTCGCAACAACGAAAGGCTCGCATAGCTCGATGGGGTAAGTAATTCCATTTTAATTTTTGGTTTTTTTGAAATCTATTTTGTGTATGGTATAGATAGATTGATATTAGTGCAACAACCATTTGCAATTATTTCATCTTTTTATCCAAATAACCCTACTTTATTAATCGAATTTCATCGATGTTCTTATTTAAGTACATGAGCTTCCTATACAGTAACTTTGGTATTTTGAATGTACTTATTTTAGAACGTCCGTTCTCTAATTTATATATTTTCCTTGTTTTAGTTTTAAATGCAGAACAAATTCTTGAGGAGTTGGAGAAAAGTGAGGGTGATTTCATTGATTCTGATGATGACGATCTATATGAGCCATCCCAACGACGCGCGAATTCTGATTCAGATCGGTGTAATAGTTCTGAATCAGAAGAAAGCATATACGAATGTGATACCAACCGACAAACACCACCACGGTCGTCGCCAGCACTTTCATCGTCTTCATTGACTCGGGGAATAACGAATTCTAGAGTAAGGAGAGGGCCGTCACGCCGAGCTGCAAGGAACAGAGTACGCCCGGTACGAGTACGCAGAAGCGATAGAAGTGCGCAAGATTACAATCAAACATCTGTTAAAAGCAACACTTGGACGAGAACATTTAGCCCAACCATTCATAACTTGCACTCACCTAGTTATATCCAGAGAGATCTCAGTAATTTTAAAATGTTTGAATATTTGATGACGTCAAAAGAATCTTTGGCTCACAATTAGAGAGTTGAAGGTATTCATTGGCGTTAATATGGTTATGGTCAGTATCGGCTATCCCAAAATCAAAATGTTCTGGGAAAAAGCATGGCAGTTTCCAATAGTAGCAGATAACATGACTCGTGATAGATTTTTTTTATTGAGAACCCGACTGAAAGTCGTTTTTGACAACGATGTTTTAGAGCAACGTGCAGTTGACAAAATTTGGAAAGTTAGACCTTTGTATAATCGTGTCTGTGCAGGATGTCACATTCAGCTAAAATCAGAGCATATATCGGTTGACGAGATGATTATACCATTTTCAGGTCAATGCGGTATCAGACAATATTGCCCAAATAAACCCAACCCCGTCGGACTTAAAGTATTTGTTGTGCCAATCCTAACGGATGTATTTGTGACATGAAGGTATACGAAGGAACAACAACTTTCCCACATTGTGATGGTTTCAATTTAGGAGAGTCTGCCGTATTGCACTTGACCATGTTATTAGTTCCCGGTCACTATTTGTACTTTGACCGTTACTTCACCACTATGAAGTTAATGCAAGAATTATGTAACCGTGGCTTCCATGCTACTGGAACTATAATGAAGATCGCCTACCTTGTGACTGCGTCATGACGCCTGACAATGAGGTCTCGAAACTGAACCACGGAGCTACTGAGGTTCTAGCTTCTCCAGATGGAAAAATTGCAATTACGAAATGGTTTGACAACAAGGCTGTTTTACTCATGTCAACTTGTCTAGCTGACGAAAAATTCGATATGTGCAAGCGTTACAACAAACTTAGTAAAAGATATGTGCAAAGTTCCATGACCTGAAGTCATTAAAATGTACAACGGCAACATGGGTGGCGTTGACTTGGCAGACAGACTGATAGCAGTCTGCCCGATACGGGCGAGAACTCGTAAATGGACAATCAGATTTATTTTTCACATGATTGATATCGCCATATCAAACTCTGAATAACATATCGGGTACAACATCAACTTCATAATGTTCCCTTGCATAAAGTACCTCGCTTCGTGAGTACAAGTTAAAGTTGGTATATAAACTTATTGAAGAAAATACAGTATCGTCGGATGAAGAATCTTGTGATGAAAATTTAGAACTGCCAAGCCAGCAAAAAAAGAGACGTTTTACAATAAATCCCTTACCGACTCTGCAAAAGAGAATCTCCAATAGGTCCATCTCCTACCTGACATATGCTCAAATTTACAAAAAAAAACAGCAGTGATGTCGCAAAGAGGGCTACAACAAGAAAACTAAAGCAAAATGCCGATTCTGTCGCGTGTACCTATATTTGAATAGTTCTAGGAATTGGTACGCTAAATTTCATTGATATACCGCTGACGCTGATATCCATTTTGTTTCCATTTAATTTATTTAATAAAAATATTAATATTAAAATTAAGGTCAATTATGAAAAGGTAATGTTACGTTTTTGAGTTTTTATGGTATTATATATTTTTCTTTATCAGTTATTTAATCAAAAAGGCACTATAAGGCCTGTTAATTAAAGTGTTTTTTTTTATATAAGAGTTTAAATTATGTTAAAATACAAAAACAGTTAATTTTGAATAAATTTATGATTGCGTATTGATTGTTCCATTTATTAGAGACCAGATATCCTAAATTAAGTACATGAAAAAAGTAAAATCTGTGTAGTATAAAACCGATGCGTTATATATATAGTACTTCAAGAAAAACTGGCTTTCCACACAAAATATTTTTTTAACATTTTTTCTTGCTTTAAAAAAATTTTGGAAAAAGCTCGAAAAAATCATACCCTCGGACTCAGGAGGTTGAGCTAGCAAGTGTCCATGGGCTGCAATAGCCACTTACCAACAGGTGGACTGTGAGTTCGTTTGTAATTTTTTTAAATGTCATATCCTCGAAATTTCTACAATTTCTTCATACTATACTGAAATATGTAAATAAAATAAAGTATGTTTTTCATCAATGTCGAAATTCAAAGCGAACGTCCGGTATGAACTGGCACGGCTTTGAAAATTATTGATTATTTCATTAACTGAACAAAAACTAACGAACTTTTCCTCGAATATGCTAAAATAATCGACGAAGAAAGATCTAAAAGAGTTGCGCATTGATTTGTTTAACTAACACATTGAACGGCTCCTGTGATCATTTTTGTTTAGTCTCATTGATTCAAACAATGATTTCGTAACAGTCGACAAAAATGCTCCTTAGAAATGAGGGCATTCAAGACTTTTCCGCCACCACACCAGGGCGGGGCCGCTTAAGAATGACTTGAAATATTTGACAGTGTTCTTAATAAATTTGTTAGTAAATTTAGTTAATTTCTGAAATGTTAGTTATATTTTATAATAATTAGATTAGAAATGCATAAACTAAACTACGGGTATTCTTAAAAGAAGAAGAATTAATAAAAAGTTATAGATGTGTGTAGAGCCGTGGTAGCTCAGATGGTTAGCGCTCGCTGTAAATTTCACAGTACGTGAGCAACCCGGGCTCGATCCCCGCCGGCACCAATGTAATTGTTAATTGTACTTTTAGTTAAGGATGTGTGTAGAGCCGTGGTAGCTCAGATGGTTAGCGCTCGCTGTAAATTTCACAGTACGCGAGCAACCCGGGTTCAATCCCCGTCGGCACCAATGTAATTGTTAATTGCACTTTTAAGTGCTGATTTACTACGTGCTCGGCGGTGAAGGAAAACATCGTGAGAAAATGGGCATGTCTGAGAAATAAGAAAAAAAATCGAAGACATATGAAGTTCGCCAACACGCATTGCGGCAGCGTGGCGGACATTTCCTTGCCCTAAAACTCTCTCAGAAATGAGAGGGGGCCAGTGTCCAGCTGTGGGACGTATATAGGCTGTAACTTTAACTTTTTTTTTAAAGATATGTAAAAAATTAAAAAATACAGCACTGAGGCATTGTTTTGTGTAAATACACAAAACAATGCCTCAGTACAAATACACAATAAAAAACACACTACAAATAGAAAAACTTTTATTTAAATTGCAGTTTTTCTATGACGATGACACCGTGTAATCGTAAAGTTTACCTTAGTCCCAACTAGCGACATCTTGTGAGCGTAAGATTATTAACATTCATTGATCAGCTCGACTGTATTATTTATTATAAATCATCGTTTTTAAGAAGTCATAACTATTGTTTTCAACCTAGATACCGTATCATATATTATATGTAACTACATCATCTTCATCATCACGCATCTCCTGCATCTCTTAAGTCATCACTCCAGGTCGTCACTCTATCTAGTGGGAAGCCACCCTACATTTCACTTACCGGTACGTGATTGCTACTCGAGAACGTTTCTTCCTCATCGTTGTCGGTTCTTTGAGCTATATGGCCGGCCCATTGCTAAAAGCTTACTGATACGTTGTAACAGAATAAATCCATTATCGTCCATAACTGCCTATAAAATTCCACTGCTGAATCCTCCCCTACTAGTCAAACTCCTCAAAGGTTTCCCTTTGTCGCCTCTTACAACATTTTTTTCTTTTTAATAACTTGCTTTACGGCTCTGGGATCTAACCCTTCTGAGCCTGAAGTATACTGCTTCACAATATGTTGATGCGTCACATTGTGCAGCCCTTGGGAGATTTTGACGGCAACTTGAGCCAACAGACAGCTGATGGTTGGCGATGGTATCTCAAGGCGCCTAAGCAGACAGACACCTTATTTTGAGAATCACATCACCATCAGAGCACTTGTTTCACAGTTTCCACTAATAGTTCACATGCACAGACACTTAATACACAAAATCGCACCACTTTTACATATTAAAGTCCACTTCAAACCATTATTTAAACAATAATACAAGAGCAACAAACCGCCGCCGGTCAAGTTCCCGTCAAAAACCCCTCTTACAACACCGAGATAAGTGATACAGAGTAGTTAATATTCTTACACCGTTACTACAGAATAACTAAATACATAATTGTTTATTTTGTCATGTGGTGGTGGCATATGAGATTACTTATTTTGTCCAGTTAGTGTTTCGTTACACCGTCACTTATTTTTCTAAACTGAAACCAAACATTGCTAATTATAGCAATGTTTGGTTTCATGCAGCTTACTTCATTAGAATGTAAATACTCACCCCAATATAGAAGAGCCCATTGCACATACCCATCGAGCGACGCTCGCAGCCCGATATCACGTATATTCCTTTATCGTTTTCATCTTTCGAAGCCGATATAAAGAATATTGCATCGAATGCCTGTCGAAATTTATTGTTGTACTTGGATTATTTTATTAAAAAAATATACAAAATCAATGTTAACTTAACGATATGTTTAGTTATTAAGTATCGAATGAAATTTATTTGGAGACGATGTCACACACATACACACACATATATACACACGTACGCACACGCACGCACGCACGCTCGCACGCACACACGCACGCACGCACGCACGCACGCACACACACACTTGCACGCACTGCTAGACGGACTCCTAGGCATGGAATCCTTTTAGACATATTTGTATATATATATATATATATATATATATATATATATGATACAAATATATATATATATATATATATATATATATATATATATATATATATATATATATATATATATACAAATATGTCTAAAATAAAGTAACCAGCTGACGAAGGTGAGATACGTACCTTCGCATGGTCACTCAGCATTTGTGCACAGTCCATGGCTGCGGGGTCTGCTATAGCCTTAACGCCTTGCCCCGCGCGTCCGTCAGTTCCTGCAGCTTTGTTCTTTTTCGAATACTGTAATGAAATATTTTTAAATAAGTAAACTAACAGATATCAACGTAAATCTTCTCCTTCATCATCCCGTATTTACGGGATATGTCTACTGATATGTCAGCTGATGTACATGAGCTTCTGCTATTTAGGGACGCTTGGCAGATGGATTGGCGAATACAGTATCAGACGTCTCTCGCCTTAGCAATGGTCTCCGTCGCTGGTCCGGGTATTTAACGTCTAGTATAAGTGCGATTGTTACACTGCCATCTATCAGAAAAAGCTAGAAAGATCTCCCCGAGATCTTTATTACAGTACAGGACAAACAAAGAGTCACGCTATTCCAAGTCGCCTATTCACACTCGGGACAAAATAAGTTTATGGATTTTCTTTACGCCGTGAGCACACCCACACGTAGGTATCTAATTTTAGACAAAGTTTTTTATGCGTTACTTCAGTGTTTTACTGGGCTTTACATGTCTCGGAAACAATAATATCCTACAGACCGAATTTCGGTTCAGCGACCCGTCTTAACTAAGACTAGCCATTTGCGCAAGATTATAGTGCACGAGTGTATGCGAAAGTTCAGGTGCACTCTCTACGAGGGCGACACTGAAAGTTTTTAGAACTGGCCACTTGTAAACGATATAATAAAAAAATAAGTTCAAATTTTGAAAATGGAGCTCTTTGCCATATTATTGTGTATGTACACAATAATATTGCTATATGTGTTTTCCGAGTTACGTGGGTTTTCACCCAACACTTAAAGAAACCAACTTCCTGACACCGGGCAGCTACTGAGCATTTCTTGAAAAAAGAACTCAATAACCCATAAATAATATCACGGACATGGTTTTCTACGATGTTATCCTACATCGACAGGCCCGAATAAAACTGTATTTTAAAACTTCGGTTGACAATTTCATTGATGTCGACATAAGGCATTACTCTGGCATTTAGCTTACTAACCCCAGTGCTGCAAGTTCTTTGTCAAAATTAAAAATATTTTATTTAGTTTAGGTTTATTTTAGTTTCTATAAATGCCTAAATATAACACGAGTGTTTAAATAAATAGATGGGTAAACGAGCACAAATTTCACCTGATGTTAAGTGGAAACTGTGTTCTCAATTAATAATCAAAATGTAGACGCGTTATCGCCCCTGAGCACTAAGATAGCATATTTCTTGCTAGTAAAAAGGATCTTCGGTTCTCCGCATTCATAATACGAAACACAAAAACATTAAGCTGCTATTTTATCTGGTGTTTTGTGAGAATGTGATTCGTCCCCAGTCGCACTGATCCATTCTTTGTGCAGCCATAATACAGCTGCAGCTCTACCATGTCAAAACGTGTAGTTAATGCAGTTTCGTTCTAACAATTACAAGCCAGCGCTTGACTACTATCCCACCTGATAGCAAGGGATAACGGTGCGCAGATAATGCCCACTTAGCTTAACGAAAGCCTATTCACTCTTGCCTGGAAGGCCCACATTGTAATCGGATGGTTATGGATGCCAGCAAATTAATCCACTCAATTGCTGTACGCATTGACGTAGACTGGCCGAGCATCTGGTTGTCCGATGGTGTGGTGAAAGAGAGACGGATGAATTATGTCATACAATTCCGGCGCACTCTCGCATCTCGAGCACAGACGTAAAATGCGCCTGTGCTCGAGGCTGGTAAGATTAAGTTTAACCAAATCGACATCATCAGTAAGTCTAATAATTTAAAATTTAAAATTTCGTACTGCCGACTTCAATATAAATTATTAAGAATAACTCAAAAACTATTGATCTCACCTTGATCCAATTCATATGGGACCACAAGAGAAATATCAGCTTTCATATAAAAAAAGAATCATCGAAATCGGTTCACCCAGTACAAAGTTATGAGGTAACACACATAAAAAAATACAGTCGAATTGAGTACCGTCTCCATTTTGGAAGTCGGCAGAAAAGTGCAGCAATATCCAACATTGGAATAGTCTATAAGTTGGAGTTGGTTCCTCAATATTTTATTTTATTGATTGAAGTTCGTTAAAATAGAACGTAGATTACTTCTTGACCAATAATTATATAATCATTACCGTTGACGACAGTTCAAATCGAAATTAATCTAAGCGATAGTTGCTGATTGTGATGAACCTTATCGCGCACCTGCCTTATTATGTTGTATACATCAGTATATCGTTAATGACATAATATGTAAAAATTAATTCGTATACACTCTATTATGTTGTTTTGTTATAAACTGTGATGCATTTCATCTTAGTTAAAGTTAGAAAAATTACTTTGCGAATATCGGTTTGATAAAATTTAGCGGTAAGTTTAAAGTTATTGAACGGATATTGGCAAAATAAATTTTTCCAACTTTAAAATAATGGATTTCCGCCAAGTAATGCCTGATTCTATTAATTTCATTTTAGTCCTCAGGGGTAAATAACACATCTTTTTTTTTATAGGATCGGGTGACAAACGAGCACACAGTCCACCTGATGGTAAGTGGTTACTGTGACCCATAGACATCTACATCTATCCTCAATAAAGACTTAAGATGCAGATGCGTTGTCACCCGTGAGGACTAAGATGGAATGCCTCTTTGCCAGTAAAAAGGGTCTCCGGTTCTCTACACTCACCATACGAAACACAGCAGCGTTAAGCTGCTATTTTACGCTGGTTAAACACTCCCTTTTCTGTGAGTGTTTTACATCTGTATTATGATTCTTAACCGAAGATAAGTGTAGATATTTATGGGCCACAGCATCCCCTTGCCATCAGGTGGACTGCTTGCTCATTCGACACACCTGTTCTATAAAAAAATACTACATATAAAATAAACTTTTAATGTTAGTTTTACGTTAATCTGTCAGTTTTACGCTCGTGCGTGTGTTAAATAAAGCATACATCCGCGATGCTGTTACGCCTGCGCCGATTTTAAAGCCTATTAGTAAGGCTTAAATTCTGGTAATTATCTAATTAAATTACATCGAAAACAATTAGTTCTTCGGCTTCTATGTGCTAACTTAATACTTGTTTTAGTGATGCATCCGGTATCGATACTGATAAAGATTTATATCGGCGTTATTTTGTGTTTCCGGTATATAGGCTTTGACGATATTTAGGTGTTAGCCGATACACCAATACGCTCCGTATACTTTTGTTCTGTTCAAATGATTTTTGTCGCATCTGAGATACTGTTTTCCACTACACATCTTATCCACACCGTCCGGAATTGACTTTCGCCGTAAATCTTATGGTTATAATATTTCTTGTTAATGGTAATTTTAATAACAAACTTTTGAAAATGAATCTAACACATTACAACCCTAACTATTGTCTGGTATGTCATAAATAATACGATTAAAAGAAAATAAAATTATTGACATATGGAAAAATATCCCATTATTGGTCCCAATTTTTCATTAAAAAACAAGTCTTAAAATTAATTTTGTCAAACGTTATTTTCTCAAATCTACTATAGTTTCGAGATGAGATTTTCTTTGATTGGAGAAGCAACAACGAAAAAATTTTTGCAGGTATCCTCTTTTTGACATTTTTGAAAGTTAATATTACAATAGCATATTAGCAAACGTTGAAATGTAAAATAAAAACAGCCCATAAACTTTCTACTGAGGGCAAAGGGCTTATCTTAATTTTAGATTAATTAACATTTATAAATATATTGTGAAATTAATAATATAATTCAGACGATTTTGTAGCGTAGTGGCTAAGTGTTTGGGCGGTACTGGGCTGTGGCGCTGTGCAGCTGCGGGTTCGAGTCCCGCGCGGAACAAATGGACTTAGTTATACAGAAACGTTCCAACCCACAAATCATTCAAAAATTAGTTTTTCTTCTTTTTCTTTACTTTTTGGCTTCTCTTAAAATAATTCTGCCAATGTCAAGTCAGTCATGCGAGTGACAATCAAAAATGAGTTAAATATACAGAACCACTTATTTTGACATCTTCGCGAAGATTTTTAAATGACTTGTGGGTTGGAACATTTTTGTATTACTACGTCCAATTGTTTGTTTGTTTTACAACCGTTTGCTACGGGATATTTTTGTCTAATTGTCAAAGTACAGGGACAAATCCTAGAGTAGGATGAGGTTTTTAATATAAAATAGAATCTATCCCTTGGATTGTGACGCAATATCAAAGAAATTTCAAAATTCGTGAAAATAACAAAAGAGTCATCAAAATAGAACCTAGAAAAAAGTTCTGAGGAAACAAATCGCTCGCAAGTCGGTGAAAATGTTCTCCGTAGTGACGGCGTAAGAATATCGAGAATATAGAGAATAATATAAAGAATCTACTACCACACATCAAAGCGTGAGTATGGGCCTTTATTATAACAGAGGGGGCAAATGAGCATGCGGCTCACCTGATGGTAAGTGACAACCGCCGCCCATAAACAACTGCAACACCAAGGAAATTGCAGATGTGTTGCTGGCCTTTTAAAAAAGAAGCGGCTCTTTTCTTGAAGGCTCTAAAGTCGTATCGGTCCGGAAAAACCTCTGTTGGTAGTCGATTCCACAAGGAAGTTGTGCGAGGAAGAAAACTTCTTCTAAATCGCACAGTGGTGGACCGCCAAACATCCAGATGGTATGGATGGTATTGCGAGTTTTTTTTTTATAGGATAAGGGTGACAAACCAGCACACAGTCTACCTAATGGTAAGTGGTTGCTGTGGTCTATAGACATCTGCATCTATCCTCGATTACGAATTAAAATGCAGATGCGTTGTCACCCGTGAGGACTAAGATGGAATGCCTCTTTTCCAGCAAAAAGGGTCTCCGGTTCTCTACACTCACCATACGAAACACATCAGCATTAAACTGCTATTTTACGCTGGTATTCTGTGAGAGCGTGGTCCTTCCCAGGTCGAGCCGACCCATAAGTGCTACAACTATACCAGTAATATAGCTGCAGCATGGCTCTACCACGTAAAAAAAGTTAAAAAGAGTTTTGTCGCGATGTGCGATGGTGAAATTGAGCGGCTGGAATTAGTCCGAACAATTCCTCAGAGCACTCACACTATGTTTAACAGTGCACTTTTGATAGTACTCTGTATTGAATGAATCAACAAAATTTGTTATAAACAGCTTCTTAGGTAATAAAAATTTTCACATTTAATAACACCTATCACTAATGATAAGTGATATTAAAATATTAAGACGTCTTAAAAACAAGAAAGTAGTTGCAGTAGATGCATTCTAATATGAAATAAGAAATTTAAAAATCGAATTATTGTATTTAAAATAAAATTATGAAAAAAAAACATAAAAAATAACGTACCTTTCGAAAGTAATAAAGGCATGCAAACAATGCATATTTCAAATAATACCACTTCCCGGGCACTGAGTATATTCCAAATATAGGTTCGGGATCTTTCTTTTTAACTGCGTACAATATTAAAAGGACAAACAATATGGCCACAATAAATAAATACATTGTGTGTGCGATCCCTTAGTGAACTAAATGAATTGGAGTTATAAAAGATAACGTATGTTTACAGTTATCATTATTTTTAGTGATGTGCCTTAGCTGTTGGGTAGAGCGTTTTAACTGTTATTAGCGTGATATTTATATAATAATAGTTATAAAACTAATTTTTGAAAATAATGTTTTTAGGTACGATTATTTAAATAAGACTGTTGGTACATTATTTTTTGTTTGAAGTCACAAATAAACATGACGAATGTTAATATGCGATTTTTCCGTTCACATCATATTTCCTACTTTATGTTATACATGATAAAGCTCTTTTTATTTACAAATATACAGATTATTGTGTTAACCTTTTTTTTTTAATTGAAGCGACAAACAAACTTAATTTACAGTCCATATAATGGTAAGTGGCTATTACAGCCCATGGACACCTGCAACCAACTTAAAACAAAGAACTAAAAGGCTACAAATACATAGTCACCTCTGAGGACTAAGATAGAATGCCTTCAAGTCTGTATTTATACTGGCTCTTTACATCAATTATTCTCGGCACAAATAGTTAAAAAGTGTCATGCAGAAAAGGAGTATAAGTAAGGAAGTTATTAGACTTATAGTACTTTAGTATAATAAATTACAATAGTGGTACTTCAAACATAATATTATGTATACTGCGTAACTAAAGTTCCCATTCTTTTGCATGTCCATTATTTTATTAATTATTTTGATAAAATCTTTCTCGAATATAGAAATAAAGCGTACACACTATCCTTGCGGGCGATTCCAACCCCAATAGGCATTGCTGAAAACCAACGCTACCGCAACAGTGCGATAGCATTATGTGTAGTCAGTGCCCTTTTCAGCATCACATCACTCATGGAATCGGATTATTTTATGTCTATTTTCTCTTATTCATTTTTATATTTGATGTTTTATGTAGGTATAATTTTATGTTCTGTATAAAAACTGTATGAGTGTAAGTTACTGAATTAATGCATGTCTATGTCTATTTACAGTGGTTTGTTTGTGTGACTGTTTATAAGTTTGAAACTGTAGTTTATTTATTTTATTTATTTTTGAAAAGTTGCACACAATATAAGAACATAATACAATTCTAAATTTTTTAAACAAAAAAGGATAACGCTATGAGTTAACGTTATCTTAAGATAATTAATTACAACACTACGTTGATTGAAGCTGTCTTTTGACTATAATTGTAACGCGTTATATGCTATACAAGTTGACATAATGTGTGATAAGATTAATGAACAGAGTTTAAATATAGTGTCGCAGTGAAAGTGGATACTGTTTTGATAGATAACTTCTGTTATGAATATGTTGCGTAATATATATTTGCTATTTCGGTAATTCGTGTGGTGGCTGCATAAAATACAGTATATATATATGAAAATTTAATATATGTTTACAAAAAAATAAGTAGTTTTAATAAAAAGGGATAAAAACCATCATTATCATTACAACCCTTCACAAGTCCACTTCCGAACATAGACCTTCTCCAAGGAATGCCACAAAGCACAGTCCTGAGCCACCTGCATCCATCGACTTCCTGCGTATCTCACCAGATCGTACCTCCATCTAGTGGGGGTCGCCCTACACTTCGCCTACCGGTACGAGGCTGCCACTTAAGAACCATTTTTCCCCATCGCTTGTCGGTTCTTCAAGCTATATGGCCGGCCCATTGCCACTTCAGCTTACTAATCCGTTAGGCTATGTCGGTCACTCTGGTTCTACTGCGGATATCCTTGTTTTTTAGTCTATCCCGCAGAGAAACGCCGAGCATAACCCTCGCCATAGTTCATTGAGCGACCTTGAGTTTCATCATACGGCCAGCAGTAAAGGACCACGTCTCAGATCCATACGTCACCACTGGCAACACGCACTTGTTGTAAAATCTTGTTTTGAAGTATGCCTAACGAGAAGATATGTAGGTCGTAATCTCCCGAACACTGTACAGCCGAGTTTAATGCGTCGATTAACCTTAATCTCGGTCGAAGTTGGACTTACCTAATCGGACTATTTGTCCCAGGTAAACATATTCGTCAAAAACTTCGAGCTTAGTGCTCCCAACAACTACCGGCATAGGTGTGATATGGACTTTACACATGACTTTTGTTTTGTCCATGTTCATCTTAAGACCTATCCGTTGGGAGACACTGATCATAGCTCAAGCTTTTATATCACATAAATTGTGTAATGACGTTATAAGTTGATAGTAAAAGTTTTTAAGGAAAAGTTTATTTTATTCTTTTTAGCGCATTTAAATAAAAGCTTGTTTTAAAAAAAGTTTTTTTTACTTTTAATTTATTTTTTACTTTATAGTTATCGCTGGACAGGTTTCTCAGTCTGATCGTCTCATTCAACACATCATTGTTGCAAGGTCGTTTGTCGGTTAATTTCGAACAGTCTAGCTCTTCAATAAGGAGACCTTCTAATGATTTTACCCTACTTAAGGCCACGTATGCTTGACCAGCAGCGAAGAGCTGCGAACCTAAGTATACAACGGCATGGTCGACAGTACTACCCTGCATTTTGTGTACTGTACAAGCCCAACTTAATATAAGCATTCTTCGTTCTGCAGTGCCGTGACTATATTTTGTTGAAAATTGTACAGTCTTGTGTTTAATGAGATGAACACCGTCTTTACCGAAGTCTATACGGACGGATGGTATGTCAGTATCATACATTTGTGCTCTCTAGAAGCAGAGCCATATGATTTCTGTAATATGTCCAATGACACCATTCACCAGACCTTTCGACAGTCAAAGTTTACCAACTAATGCCACAGACTCGAGCAATTCGACCTCAATATCATATTTGAGGACTCCATAACCCCAGTACACCAACATTTCAGACGGATTGCCGTGTAGTGGCGGTCAAGAATATCCACTACCCCAAATCCTCCCGTGGGTGTCGTAAAAGGCGACAAAGGGATACAGGCAGGAGATGGGCAGCAGCATCGTCCTGATAATAGCCAAAATTACAATAAACTATGGCAAATACCCCCCCAATGAATAAAGCAACAAACAGACGGCCCCCAGTCCCCGGCGGCCCCGCTATTCCTGGCTACGGTGGCGACCATGGTAACGGCGGGACAGGGGGTACTAAGAATCTCCGGTGGAGGTTTGGTTGCAACCTTAGACGACTCGACCTGGCAACGTACAACGCACGCACCCTGAGGACTGACGAGAAGATCGTGGAGCTGGAAGAAGAGATAGACAAGTTGCGCTGGCATATTATAGGATTATCCGAAGTCCGAAGAGAGGGGGAGGACACGGTAATCCTCGAATCCGGCAACTTGCTCTATCACCGGGAGGGCGACCATCTGTCCCAAGGAGGTGTCGGATTTATCGTCCACAAGTCTCTCGTTAACAACATTGTAAAGATCGGGAGTGTGTCGACGAGGGTTGCGTACCTTATACTCAGAATCACCAAACGGTATTCGCTGAAGGTCATACAGGTTTACGCACCAATCTCGGCACACCCCGATGAGGAGGTGGAGGAAATGTATGAGGATATCTCTAGAGCCATGCATTCCTCTAAAACCTAATATACGGTGTTAATGGGAGACTTCAATGCAAAACTAGGCACAAGAGAAAACGGCGAGCTGAAAGTAGGGAAATTTGGAATAGGGCAACGGAACCCAAGGGGCCAGCAGTTGGCCGACTTCATGGAGAAAGAGGGACTCTTTATGATGAACTCTTTCTTCCAGAAGCGGCCCCACAGGAAGTGGACCTGGTCGAGCCCCGACGGTTCGACAAAAAATGAGATTGACTTCATTATGACGACCAGACGACAACTGTTCAGTGATGTCTCCGTGATCGCGAGGGTGAAAACTGGTAGCGATCACCAAATGGTTAGAGGCACACTGAACCTAAACGTTAAGTTGGAGAGGTCTCGTCTAATGAAGTCAACGCTCCGTCCCCCTCGTGCTCTGTTCCAAAGTCCCGAAACCTTTCAGCTCGAGTTACAAAACCGTTTTCAGTGCCTGGAAGACTGCAATGAAGTGGACGATATGAATGACAAGCTCGTGGAAACTGTCCATGCGGTCGGAGCTAAGTTATGCAAGACCCGCCGCAGAAGAACACAAAAACTCTCCGATCACACTCTTAATCTCATGGCTGTTAGACGGGAGATGAAGCTACATTCTTCAACAGACTTGACAGCATACAGGCATCTGAACAGACAGATCTCCAAATGCATGCGGCGGGACTTACGCAACTTCAATACAGCTCGTATTGAAGAAGCGATCGAGCGGAATCAAGGCTCCAAAGTCTTTGCCAGAGATCTGTCTGCCAGAAAGAGCCAACTGTCAAAGCTGAAGACAGAATGTGGCAGCATCGTTTCCGGGACACCTGAGATTTTGAGTGAGATTGAGAGGTTCTATGGGCAGCTGTACACATCATCGTTGGAGCCACACGCAAGTGTGAGTAACGATCCAAGAGCGAGTCTCATCCGACACTATTCCGAAGATATCCCGGACGTCAGTCTGAGCGAGATTAGAATGGCTCTCCAGCACCTTAAAAACGGTAAGGCCCCAGGCGAGGATGGAATTACAGCGGAGCTTCTGAAAGCGGGTGGAAGACCGGTACTTGAAGTCCTTCAGAAGCTCTTTAATTCCGTTCTCCATGGTGGCATTACACCGGAGGCGTGGAGCAGAAGTGCGGTGGTCTTGTTCTTCAAGAAAGGTGACAACGCTCTCTTGAAGAACTACAGACCGATTTCCCTTCTGAGCCGCGTCTACGTGCTGTTTTCGAGAGTCATTACGAATCGTCTCGCGCGCAGACTTGACGACTTTCAGCCTCCCGAACAAGCCGGTTTCCGAAATGGCTTTAGCACCATAGATCACATACATACCCTTCGGCAAATTGTACAGAAGTCCGAAGAGTACAATTTGCCACTATGTCTGGCGTATGTGGACTATGAGAAAGCCTTTGATTCTGTCGAAATTTGGGCGGTGCTGCAGTCCCTTCAAGGTCTTCAAGGTC